TTTTTTTTTCTTTTAAATTGCAACCAAATTTCACTGATGTGGTGCATAACAAACTACTGGGGCTGCAGGAGTAAACACAATTTTGCTTTTTTTTTTTTTTTTTTTTTTTTTTTTTCCCTTCTGTAAATTCATCAGGCGTACAAAGCCTTTTACCACTTGTTCGCTTTTTTTTTTTTTATTTGCTTTTAACTAGATACCAAAAAGCATTTCAACTTTTCCGTTTGTTTTTAAAAAGGGAAAAAAAACGATTCAACTTTTTAAAATTCACACACAGTAGGTGAATGTGCGCTCCACACGTGCTGGGAAGCTGAACTGTTGGTTGGATAATGGGGTGGGGGAAAGGGGGGTAAAAGTGCCTTTCTGAGGGATGCCCGTTTAGTGCAATAACAGCCCTTTGTGAATGTCAAGCTGGCTACAAACAAGATTGAGATGGGTTTTACAGGTGGGATTTACTTTTGGACTTTGCACCAAGTTTAAAAGTAAGTCCAATAGCACTACACTCTCACTACCTGGTATAAGCTTTTAGAACAACTGTTAGAAGTATATATTCCAATAATATCTACTAAGGGGAAAAAAAAAGAAAACATTGTACTCTGTCGTACTGTACTGTAATCCTGATCGGTTTACATTGCTTTCTTGACCCAGAGTTGTATCCTAAAAACTGTGACCTGGAATGCAAGTATTATGTACATGTGTTTTCAGAAAACTCAACATTGTGAAAGCCATCTGCCAATTCAGAAGAGTCTTTATTTTTTTGGCACATAATGTCGTGTTTATTTATTTTTTATTTATACATAGTTTTTTATTTATTGTGCAAATGTTCCGGTCTTGACACAAGTAAACGTTCAATTCCGATCACTTTTTTTGTAATGTATTTTGGGGGAAAAATGGGACAAAAATAAAGTTTATTGAAAATGACTTCAGTTTATTGTTGCATTTTTATATTGACAGTGCACTAAAGTTGAGAAATGTATGGGTTTTGTTGAAACGAATGGCATTTTTAACGAATGACTCATGTAGCAGTCATTACCAAACGCACACCTTTAATAATAATAATGGATTACATTTATATAGCGCTTTTCGAGACCCTCAAAGCGCTTTACAATTCCACCATTCATTCACTCTCACATTCACACACTGGTGGAGGCAGATACAGTTGTAGCCCTTTGGGCAGACTGACAGAAGCGAGGCTGCCATATTGGGCCCCTCTGGCCATCACCAGTAGGCGGTAGGTGAAAAGTCATTGTTGCCCAAGGACACAACAACTGAGACTGTCCGAGCCGGGGCTCGAACCGGCAACCTTCTGATTACAAGACGAACTGCCAACTCTTGAGCCACGATCGCCCCTTTGTCATCATCGTACGTAAATGCTAGAGAGGGAGACATTTACAATATGTTTATCATATCCTTCTGGAAACATCTATATTTATTTACTACAATAACAGCAATATGAGACTTTCATTTCTTAGCGTTTGCTAAATGTCTGTCTGATTTTATTTTATTTTGGTTTTCAAGTTTGTGCGTCCAAAGTTCGTGTTTGTGGTAGCAACTGCATAAGCAGGTTATTCATGACGACTTCCCCTCTAACCACATTTTCTAGTTACTCTTAAGCCAGATGATAAATTGCCTTTGCCATCTCTTGTAAACCTGTTGTCAGAGTATATACAGCATCATTCTTTCGGTCCCCTTTCAAACCTTGAAACCATAAGTGACAGTTGGTATGTAAATCAAAAGCTTTGCCCTGTGGCTGAATAAATAGGCAAACTCTCTTCCTGAAGTCCCTCAAGGGGGGCTAGTCCATTGTTTCATGGACAGGATGGAAGCTGAATTGCTTGTCCTGGATGCCAGGTTTGAAAAATCCTATGATCTTCCTTCTACCGCTACCAGTCAAAGCACTTTATAGTATAAACTACACTCATCCAACACTTTCTAATCTATAACTAAATAAATGCCTTTTCACCCTAGAGAACACACAGTGATCAGAGCTTCCTCTTTGATATAGGCGGGCATCTGGCTCTGCTGCCTGAGCACAACACCGGATCTATTCAGTCTGCCAGGAATAGATCTGGCGTTAAAGAGGGTTAAAACAATCAATATGTAAAATCACATGGGCAGCCAGATGAAGTCATAGCATGACGGCTCAGATCTGAGCTGACTCAAATATCTCTTCTTCTTCTTCTTCTACTATTTTTAAATTATCTGTTTGTTTTTTGTAGACTCTTTGCAAATGAGTTGATATAAGCTAAGTATCATTTCAGAAAGCTTGATTGTGGATTGTCACTTCATTAGGATAGGCAATAAGTCACAGTGCATCACATCTTCTTCACCCCCAGTAACTGTTATGTGTGTTAGCAAAGACTGGACCCACACTGGCCGTCAGAACAGTGTCTGAAACCTTAAAGTGTTATTATCTCTACTTTTCAGCTGCTGTTTTTCAAAAGCTCCTTTATGGAATTATGTTTTTGCATTTTGGCTATCAAATGATTTATGACACCACAGCACACAGTATAGGCAGATCCCAGGCCAGGTGAGACAGATCCTAGTGGAATTAAATGTTTCCATCTCTGAAAAATGGGAAAAACATGCAGGAACTGCATTCATGATCTTGGCAGACACTGCAAAATAAAGTAGACCGACTGCTTGACAGGAAGGTACAATCTGTTCTTTAGGACCTTCAGAATAAACCCTGGTCGCCTTTACCCTGCAGATCTAACCGGAAATATTTTAGACACTCTTGAGTGAGTTCCCCAAAATGTTTTACACCTTTTAAAAATAATTTCATTAAATAAACAGTGTCTGCAGTCTAAAGTGCATGAGTTCCTTATCATATCACATGACACGCACTAAAGAAAGAACTCCAAGCCCCCTGCTGAGTTGGCTGGTTATCATAACTGCTGTACCAGGAGTTATGTGGTATACTTCACATACAAAATGCTTAATATTTTGGCACATTAAGTAGGACATTTCTACACATAAGGTCCCAACATAAGCCACTTAATGGTCTTCCGGGTCAGTTTAGGGTTCCCGTCTAAATGCACAGAAGTATTTTAGATTAAATACTTGGTGTTATCTGCCGTTTAGACAGAGTACAATACGACCTGACTGAGAGCCTCAGATAAAGAAAACTTATGACGTGAATGAGAGACTCACATCATTGTTAAAACTTGTCAAGCATGTCACATTATGTGCAAGAAAGGTGTGCATAGTTTTCTTATTTTTTAATACCATTAAAGTCAAAGGCTTGGGCTGTGAAGTCATTAGTGCAACTTCAGGTAGCAATTCTTTCATGTGCAGCTGAATGTGTCACGTTACGCAAATGTTACTAAAAACTGGTTTTAATTACATATGTGTGACAGGCCACAGTCTGGGCTGGGGTGGGACTCCCTGCTATCCAACTTCCTGTTTATAAAATGCCGTACTACTGTATGTACAAAATATAAACAGTATATACAATGATAAACGTCACGAGTTTATCGCTATATGATTAAACAGTACAGACTTGAAGACTTGAAACATATTCATTTTTGGTTTGAACAGCTAATAGGCCCTCTTTATCTGATAGAATGACATGTGTGCCATTGGCCTCTGGTCACCATGAGTACTTAAACCTTGCTCAGTTATCCAGATCGACTGTGTCTTTCAGCATTCACGAAATTCTACTGAGAGTTTTCCCATTTTTTTCCATTCCTCGACCTCCACGTCCACACTTACACAAACATGTGTCCTTCTGAGAGCTTCAGGCTGTTTTATTCACTTTGCACATGGAGAAATATGAGTGCCGAAAAGCAAATATTAGCTTTGCGAGGTAGTATGTCAATGTATGTGATGCTCACAGTTTTACACCATGTTGACTTTTGAAATGAAGTGATTTCCTGTCAGGATTGCTTTTTTGGGTTTTTTGTGGTGTTGCTTTTCCCCTTCACATTTACAGGGACAAAAAACAACACTACTGTGATCCATAAAATCTTTGAAGGATGGTATGTGAGGCATGGCAAAGTGGGTGGCACAGCTAAATGAGCGAAAGGAAGGGATGTCCTTCCCTTCCTCTGTTGCTTTTTCAGTGACCCTTAGCCACATCGTATTCTGGCTGTGATGTGTGCGAGTGCGTGTGTGTCGGCTGTGGTTTATCTGTCATGCGGGGTACTGATGCTGATGTCACATTCCTGCCTGTTAAGGCCAGACTGAGTCCATTACACACACCGATGTACGTCACACACCAGTCCTACAGGAAATGTGTGTTTCCTTTTATGATTCTCCCTGTGTTTCCCATTAAAAGCACAAAGCGCAATGTTTTATTCACTCTTCTGCTGCCAAAATGAAATGCTCTCGCCACACTTTAGTGAATCATCAAGCACTTCAGAAAGAAAATTGTCTCCAAGACTATTGAATCATTGACTAGAATTAAGACTTGTGAGCTCTGAATACAGCGTGTATTCTAACCACATCATGTGTCAGTGGATGGGTTATAGACTGGTAGAGTGGTGCAGAGGCTGCATGTGTGGAGATAAAGTAGCTTAAACATTTATCAAAGGCAGATAACATACATAAGCCTCTCCCCACTCCCCATTACAGAAGTTGAGTAATCGAAAGCTATAAAATTACTCATCAAGGTAGGGTCTTTCTTTTGGTACAGAGTTTTATGTTTGTTTAATTATCTTTTTAGTATGAGCTGATACATTACTGAATCCTTTGTTTCCTGTGAATGGCCATGTTAGTCTGTGATAGACTGCCTGTTCCAAGACTGTGGTTGTTTTTTGTTTGTTTGTTTGTTTTTTGTTAACATACATGGAGCATTGAAATGTATGAGAGCATGCTTCCT